GGAAAGAGCTGGAGGTCTGGTCACGCGGCTTGCCGTGACCCCAGATCCCGTCGTGTTCATCCCTCCCAGCTCTCCTTGGCAACTGCCACAGCAGAGTCGCTGTCTGGACAAGGTGCCAGCAGCGCTCGGGCCGCGCCAGGACGGGGATTTGAGCGACTCTTCTCCCCGCGTACCTCCCGTTGTGCTTACGCCTTGAAGGCGAGGGGAGACCCTGCCTGGGGACAGCATGCAGCACCACGAGCTGGGCAGCTTTCTTAAAAGACCTTTTTTCTCCCACTGAAGCTCACTACTCCTCATTCCCTGTAGGGATACTTTCCAGTAACTCGAGGAAAGCAGGAGAGACTAAAGCATAAAGAAATGTCTTTTCTTGCAAGTGGGAGAATGCGGTGCCAGAAATCAGCATTAAATCGGACCCTTCCTCTGCAAATACTCTACAAATACTGTTGCTCTGAGCATAGACGCAGGGAAAACCACTCGTGGTATTCTCCTAACCACCCCCATCTCCCCAGAGTGCTGCCAACGTGAGCCGGCAGTGCCACACCTGCTCTGAAAAGAGGAACAGAAGCATCATTCAGCCAGGGACGCCACAGCTCAGCTGTTCGCTCGTAGATCCTGTGCTCCTTCCCTGGAAACTGATTCTTGGGGTGGAAGTCATGATTGCCCATTGCCGCGTAGACCTTAGTATCTAGAGACAGAGGAAAGGAGGCCCAGGGGAATCCACGCTTGCGTCGGAGTTCCTCAGCACCAAAGCTCCCCGAGGCACTCACAGACTCAGAAAGAACAGCACGGCTTGAGAGCCTTGCAAAGCCCACCACCCACGGCCATGGGGCTGCAACGCTGCAAAGACCATCCCTCCTCGGGACAAAACACCCCAGAGCCACGGCTTTAAGATGAGTCGGTGAGCTTTCACCATCAACAACGCTCCTACCCCCACTGCTGACGTGGAAGGAAATCTTGCAGCCTTTTCTGTCTTAATGACTAATTACAGAAAGGTTTATTTTCCTCTTTTCCGAGTTAAGGCAAAACAATGAGGACGCATCAGACGCCTCAATTCAGACACGCCTCACACGTACAGGAGGAGGACAAACAGGTCCTAACAACCACAGCGCTTCCACGCCTTTCCCCTTCCCAATTCTGTGGTGTCTCCACCCTGGTAAGCTCTTCCCGTGGGACTCTGTGCCCCTCTCCCCTTCACATCCCTGCAGCTCCTACCTGGAAATGTCTCTTTTATCAGAGAAGTCAGATTTCCTATGATGTGCAGAACCTTTTCTTCTCCAAGATCCTCATCGGGGACGTGCGGGGTGTCATCTCTAGAAAAACCAAAGCAGCACAGTCACTGTCTGTAACTAACGTGGCATACGCTTAAAGTGATGAGCAAGGCAGAGGAAGCGTCTTACTCCTCTTTCTGCCTCCTAGAAAACAAAGTGGAGGCTTCTGGGGGCAGGAGCCAGCGCTATGTTGACTGGCAAGGCACTGCAGGAGTTTCAGGGGATTGCCCAAAGTGACAACAGACTCCACTTTATCTTGAAAAGCCTACACACAAGCATATGGAGTGGAGGCTCCCTTGGCCTCAGTGCGTTTAACAGACACTAAAGCTGACTGGAAATACTGCAAGTGAGAGCGTTTTGCACTGTCAGGTCAACATCTGGTTGGCAGCAGTGCAGCAAAGCTGTCTGAGCAGCAGGATAACGACTCTCATCAAAATGAAGCAAAGCAGTGCCCTCAGTAAGGCAGCGATCATCGAGCTCTGCCTCCAAAAGCGCCGCAGGCACACGCTCCTTTGCTTTCACTAACACGTGTATGGCATTTGCAGATGATGCTGGGCTGTCAATATCGAAGAGGAAGATCATAATTCCAAATTATATCATAGAACTGGGAGAAATAACTTGGAGGAAAAAAAACACCAACATATAGTCGTAAGGACCAGTAACTACTTGTAAGTAGGAACACTCATCCGCAGAGACAGAAAGTGAAAATGTGGGGCCAGGCAACAGCTCTGCGAACGAGGACTGGGGGTTACAGCGGATTGCAGGACGATGTTGCGCTGTCAGAAGGAATGCAGACACTACAAGGGGACACGGACGCTCACAATAATCATGCAAAATGAAGCTTTTCCTGCCTGTAAGTGGTACTGAGGACTCCTGTGGAGTAGGGTAGCTGCTTCTGGAGACCACACTAGGAGAAAACATGCTCCATTTGGGGAGGTTCCTCATACTCCTAAAGCAGAACAGCCCCTTTCTGAGAGCAGTCTCCCAGGTGCCTCTCCACAGCGTGAAGGAAAACGCTGTCAGAGTGCTGAGCAACGCTCCCGTCCCACCGCCTCTCGCAGACAGGGCCCGGTGCACCGACCGAACGGGCGTGTCCCATCCCCCAGCGCTGCTGGCACTCAGAGCCCAGGTGGAGCCAGGCGGGGCTGGCCACAATGACAGAGTGAAGGAAGGGGACTGGAGCATCTCTCCTCCGAGGAAAGGCTGAGGGAGCTGGGCTTGTTCAGCCTGGAGAAGAGAAGGCTGAGAGGGGACCTTAGAAATGCCTCTAAATATCTGCAGGGTGGGGGTCGGGAGGACGGGGCCAGACTCTTTGCAGTGGTGCCCAGTG